TCTGCTGGCCAGGGGCCCAGCACTTAATTCCTGTTGGTAATGTCTGGATAGTTCTGAGGCAATGTTACTTCCTCCAGGGAGCCCCATTCAGCCCAGCTTTGGTGCCTCATAACCCAGGACAGGCCTGGCTGGGGTGTTCAAAGCTAGGTCGTAGAAACACATGACTGACTCCTCCCCACCCCTGGTTGGAGCACAGGCCCAGTACTGTGCCAGGCCTGGGTTGGGCTGCAGGTTTAGGGAAGAGTGAGAGCCGTCCTGAGCTTGACCCTCAAGATCTAACACTCCTTCAGTTGTAAGACAGGCCAAAGGAAACTCTTCTTTGTGGACAAACCTGCAGCAGACTAGTAAGTCTGTCCCACCAGAATGAGAAGCAAGAAATGAGCTCTATGTCAGGGATCCATCCGAATTTGAACTGCGACCTGCACCAGGGGCAGAGACCCTCATCATCCACTACCATCACCTGGAACAGTGGGCATCTGAGACAGGAGACACTGAGCACTGAAGTTAATTCATGCCCACCTAGGATCTAGGATCTCACTGGCATCCTTTTCCCTAGTCAGTACTTACTTTTTTTTTTTTTTTTTTCAGTAGTCTCACTATGTAGCCTTGGCTGGCCTGGAACTCACTACAAAGAGCAGGCTGACCTCGAACTCACAGAGATTCTCCTGCTTCTGCCCCCTGAGTGCTGGGATTAAAGGTGTATGCCATCATGGTTTTAAGTGTGTCATCTTAGTATACTTTTAAAAATTTTATTTATTATTTTTATTTGTTGTATATGAGTGTATTGCCTGTATATGAGTGTATTGCCTTACATATGTAAATGCACCCGTATAGTACAATGCCCTCGGGGGTCAGAAGGGGCCATTGTATTCCCCTGGAACTAGAGTTATAGACGGTTGTTAGCCACCATGTGGGTGCTAGGAATCAAACCTAGATCCTTTAGAAGAGCAGTCAATGCTTTTAACCACTAAGCCATCTCTCCATTCTCCTTAATGCATTTTTAAAAATATTTTATTATTTTTATTTTATGTGTATGAATATATTGCCTGCATGTATGTGAGTGCACCCGTATCGTGCAATGCCGCCGCAGAGGTCAGAAGACTTCAGATTCCCCTGGAACTGGAGTTAAGGACGGTTCGTAGCCTCCATGTGGGTGCTGGGAATCAAACCCTGGTCCTCTGCAAGAGCAGTCAGTGCTCTTAACCGCTGAGCAATCTCTCCAGCCTAACAGCCAGTGCTTTTAACTGCTGAGACATCTCTTTAGCGCCCCACCCCCTTAAATAAAAAACTACACACATTATGTTTTATAGCTTTTTCTTTTTTAAATCAGTGAGGGCCCATGAGTTTTGTTGGGGTGTTCTGACCTCCACGTCATTGCACGATATGGGTGCACTCACATACATTCAGGCAATATACTCATACACATAAAATGAAAATAATAAAATATTATTTTAATCATGCCGTACCTGAGGAGGTCAGAAGAGAGCATCAGATCCCCTGGAACTAGAGTTAAGGATGGTTGTTAGCCACCATGTGAGTGTTGGGAATCGAACCCGGGTCTTCTGCAAGAGCAGTCAGTGCTCTTAACCGCTGAGTCATCTATCCAGCCCCTCTTAGTGCATTTTTTAAAAGTCATTTCAAAAGGAATGATTCTGGAATTTGAGCTGTCAGTGAAAATGGGGTTAAGAGTCATAGACTGTGTAAAAGTGATGGGTTCAACATGGTCATAAGAAAGGCTGCAGTCTGGCTGGCCTCTGAGCCTGAAGGTAAGCCCCCTGGGTCATATGAACAAGCCACCTCTCTCTCCCATGTCTCAGGCAAGTAGTGAAATCTGAACCTGAGGATACCTCTGGACTCACCAGTGTTGTGGACTCCACGGACAGGCAGTCAGGGAGTGCTGCCCTGGGCCTGGAGGGGAGGTATGCAAATAGACTTGAGGGCAGTGGTGGCCTGGTGGTACACAGTAGCCCAATCCAAGGCTTGGCCCAGTGAGTCACTCACCAAGGGCAGGGAACCCTGGCAAGCCACTCCTTGGAGCCTGTATGTACAGTACAGACAGAGGCTTGGAGAGTTCACTCATGGGCAGCCTGTGAGACCTCATTCAGCCTCTACCAGCACCACCCAGTATGTTCCTACCCACCAGGGAGCATCAGGGTAGCTTCTCTGGACAAAAGAATAAAACCCAGAGTCAGTGAGATGGCTCAGTAGGTCAAGGGGCTTGCTGCCAAGCCTATCATCCTGAGTTCGATCCCCAGGTCCCACATGGTGGAAGGTAAGAACAGACTCCCATATGTTGTCCTCTGGCCTCCACATATACACTGAGGCATGTATGTGCCCATACACAGAGCATACATACATGCACACATTAAATTAATTAATTCATTAATTAAAAATATTTTTAAAAACCCAGAGATGGGAAATGATTTAACTAAGGGCACACAGCTAAGGGGAACATTTATTACTCATAGTCCACTAATGGTCAGCAACACCATACCAGTCACACACAGCTCCAGGCCCACCCATCAGCCCCACCATCTATCAGTGCCAGCAACCAGGCACAAGCATCATCAAGCACACTGCACAGTCTGGTCATGTGGTCATACTTCATTGGGTACTGAGTCGGGGTCCCTTATGGCCCTGGTCTTGGCAACATCTAGCAGAAGGCTACCACTTGTTAGCAGACTGCCAAGTTCTTCTTGAACAGCTACCTTAGTTGAGGCCCCAACATGCACTGATTAATCACCTCCCCATGTCTTGCTTCAGGAAGGCAAACTGACAATGGATCCCCAACTTACCAATATCTGGGCAAGCTCCCACTTCTCCCACTGACCCTATACCAGGTTTCTCAAAGTCTACTATGGAACCCTTGCTCCAAATTAATTAGAGAATCTGGCTGATAAAACAGATCTTGGGTCTCTTCCTGGAGTGGCAGATATGGCACCTCTGACTGAGTGTTAGCAACTTTAAGAACCAGCTACTGCCTAGACCATGTCTCTTAATAGCAGCCCCATCCCCTGCAGTGGCACGAAAATAGTTTAGGGAAAGGCCAAAAAAAAAATTTATTTGTTAATATCTAAAGCCCAGAGGCTGGGGGAATAGCTCAGTGAGAAAAGTGCTTGCTATGCAAGCAAAAGGACCTGAGTTCAGATCCCCAATACCTGTGTAAAAGCCAGGTGTGGCAGTGTGCCTGTAATCCTAGAGCCTCTCTACCCAGCCAGCCTAGCTGAACCAGTGAGTCCCAGGCTGCATAAGAGACTATCTCAAAAATTAAAACAGAGGGGCTGGAGAGATAGCTCAGCAGTTAAGAACACATACTGTTCTTACAGAGGATCTGGGTTCAGTTCCCAGTTCCTATATGACAGCTAACAACCAACTTTAATGCCATTTCCAGGAGATCCAACACCCTCTTCTGACCTCTGCAGGAACTGCACAGTTCATGCAAGTGATACACTCATACACATAAAATTAAAATAAATAAGCCAGTGCTCAGAATGCAGCGGCAGGTAGATCTCTGTGAGACTGAGGCCAGCCTCTACATAGTGAGTTCCAGGCCAGCTGGGGTTACAGGGAAACCAAAAAAATTTTCTCAAAAAAAAAAGAAATTAATTAGTTAATTAAACAAAATAAATAAGCAAAAAAAAATAGTAACATGGACAGTGACAGTGATAGAAGTCAACCTATGGGCACCACACACACTGACATATGGATGACATATGTATAAACATATATACACATATCATGTAGACACAAAATATATGTATCCATATACATATATACACACATACATACATGCATATATACATAAAGCCCAGATATGCACACAGTATATCAGCATATCTGAAGTACTGAAATTGTAGGGGAAAGGATTAGGTAGAGAAATATCTAAAATGGTTTTATAGGCACTGACAAGAGTTCAGGGAGCAAGGGCCTAGACACAGGCAGCCAAGGCACTCAGTACAACAGCATCTGCCAGCCCTGCCAGTGCAGAAGAATTCCAATATCCTTCTCCATCCTGAACCCTTTTTCTGAAGGGCACAACCATAAGTGGGTTCCTTCTTGGGACATATCAACTCATACCTGGTGACACTGACAGGGTAGACTATGGAAAGAGTCATCTACCAGGGCCCAGAGTGGCCAGGCAAGCTCCCAGGGGCCTGACACACTGAGGAGGGGCAGCAGGGGGAGTCGAGGGCCAGCACCCATGAACAGAGAAAAAGAAATCACCATGGCTCTCTCATCTGCAACTGATGTTGAGTGATAAAGGCAATTCCAGCATCTGGAGGAGGATGAGGGTTCCAAGAGAGGGAGCACTAGGAACAGTCTGGGAAAAGCAGGTGACATGACACAGCAACAATGGCACGCATAAACCAGTGACTCCCACTACCTGAGTCTGGTTGGTGAGACAGGTCACACAAGATTACTTTTGTGGGGACAGGGACCAGGTTCCATCCCTAGCACCTAGAACAGTAACTATACAGAATAGATAAATAAATCTCACTGGGGTGTGGTGGTCCATGCCTATAATCCTAACTCCAGGAGGCAGAGCTGGAAGGATCTCAAGCCAGAGAGCTTTGCAGCAAGGCCTTGGCTCAGTAAGCAAATCAGTCAACCCCTGTTCTACACATAAGAGAAAAAAGCAAAAAGAAGGTAACTCATCCAGATGTGCACAGTTTTCACATGCCTCAGTCACCAGCACATTCTAGAACCTACCTTCCTCAGCCCTGTGTTAGTCTGGGCCCAGAGGCCCCAGCAGGTAGCTTGTACCCTAGATGGGTCCCTGTATGGTGAATGAACAAGATAAAGCCACCAGCCTACCTTGGCCACCTCACAGCTGGCAGAGCCTGGTGGCTGGAAAGAACATGTTGGTGACCTATCTGGAAGGTAGCCCCCTAGTGTGGCTTACTACACAAAAAGCCTTTGGGAATCCTGAACCTGTAGGTAGGGGCAAGATTGAGGAAAGAGCTAGAAAACTCAAGAGGAGTGAAAGTCATGTCCCTTACCAATCCATCACAGTTGCTGATGGCAACAGCTGCCCCAGGCATTCCGGTGACGCCTCCAGTGTACACACACTCCTGCTGTAAGGGCTGCCGGAAGAGCTCCTGAAAGTCCTCCTGCCACTCCACTGAGGCCCCCGGTGCTACCAACCTCCGGTTGGGCTGCAGGTGCAAGTGTAGCTCCTTCCCAAAGACAGTCACATTGAAGTAGAGGAAGTGGCGCCTTGGCCCACCAGGCCTCGGGGTCTCTCCTTCCAGGCTCAAGGGGCTTCGTGCCACCCGGAGGTGGCTCCCTGAAGAGGCTGCTGCAGGGCCAGACAGCACATGGGAGAGGAAGCGACCATGAGGATCCGTACTACAGGGCACAGTCACAACATAGTTGTGGAGCTTCCCAGAGAGGTGCAGTTCTGTTAGAAATAAACAAAGAGTTACTTGACTTTGCAGAGGTAAAAGGAAGCTGGGAGTCCCACAGGGCAGACAGTGACAGGAAGCCCTGAGTGTCACCTTCCATGGATCACATTCATGCATTCTCCATCCACTGCTTCCTGCACTTGGGATGAATGGTATTCAGGCAGATATACAATTGTGGACATGCTGCTCCCTGTACCCTTCAAGTCTTTTTATAGCTAGCTGAAGAAAACAAATGATGCCAAACTGAGTCCTGTCACTGTAGCAACAAGACTTCCAACCTTCTTGCCTAGGAAAAGACTGAAATTCTCTGTAATCACCCAGGGCTAGAACCATCCCAACTCCCCCAGCACGCTGAAGTCACCAGCCCAGCCCAGGGCAGGGTTCTTGCCAAGCTCCCAAGAACGCAGCTGCCAAAATAAACACACCTAGAAACCCAGGGGATCCTAGCCTAAGTTGAGGAGCAAGGTGGGGCTAGAGAAAGAAGCGAGAGAATGCACCGTTATATAGTTTTCCAAGGTTAGAAGGAAAACTTTTTTAAACAGTGAGGTGACTGGGAGATTTCTGCATGGCCCAGCCCCAAGCAGGGTAAACACAGAATTTCAAAAATAAAAGGAGACACAGGGGGTGACCTGCCCACTTGGGCTGAATTAAGTGTGAGGTCATGGCCTCATGCTCCACGCCATTTGCCAGTGGCCCCATCCTCACACAGCTTCCCCTGTGCCCAGTCAGGCCAGGCAGAAATGACAGCTCACTGGCTTCCAGGCCTGGTGAATCATGGATACAAGTTTGAAAGAATTTTCATCTCTACACAGTTCTGTCTCCAACTTCCCCAGTTTACAGCATTGATAAAACACAGAAAAGGATGCGTCCTGAAGGTCCCAAGGCCACTGTAAATGGGGGCATTGCCCCCCCTTTACTGATGACAGCAGAAGAGCCCAAGACTGTGTAAGAGGGGTCCCACTTTGGCACATGACCCCAGCCTAGAAATGACCAGAGCCTGCTCCCTGAGCCCAAAGGGCACTCATGCTATAACTGTGTGTGCTGTGTGTCCATACTGCCTCACAGTGTCTGAGGATGCTGTAGGGGCACCAGGTGGGAGACTGTTCCTGTGCAGAAGCAAAATGGCCAGAGTTCTCTGCGATGGGAAGCATCACCTGCTAGCCCGACTCTCTGTGGGACAGACAGGCATGCTTGCGTGCACACAATCCCACATGTGAGTATCCAACTTGGAGACATACTAGACATTGAAAGATAGAGTTATACAGGAGAGAGAGACAGAGACAGAGGCTTTCCGGGTACCCGGAGAAACTCCCCTCTTACGGGTCACTTCACCTCCAGGACAGAAAAGTGCAGAAATCACTAGAAGTGGCCAAATCAAAGCAACTCAGCCCGCAAATTCTACTCCCTCTAATTCTGTACCGCTGGCTCCCGCACCCTGGGGCCACCGTGGCTGCCTGCACCCCGGGATCCCCGAATACCCACGCATCCGGCCCGCACGCACCTGGGGTCTGGCTGCCCGCGGCGGCGCCCAGTGCGCAGTACCAGGGCAGCAGGCAGGACAGCAGCGCGCGGACCCGAGCCATGTGGCCCCGCGCGGACGCGGGCCGGGCAGACGCCCGAGCGCCGGGATGCCCGGTCACCAGCCTCCGCCTCCCGGCCCCCCGCATGGCGCCCCGACCCCGGCTGCAGCCGCCTTGGTCTGCCTGCGTCGCGGCGAGCAGCTGGGCTGCGGTGG